CCTTTGTCCCTGCCTTATTTTTTAGAAGGTTTTCCCAAATCCTTTTCTATATGATACACAACCTAACCGAACACTTCCCCCAAAAACTAAAGCGACTCTGACTTTATTTGAACTCCTACATGATTTGTAACTTTCCTTTCTCTGATCCAAAATAACCTGCGTAGGCTTGCAGTCTTAGGTTTCTAAGTTTCCTCTAAGTGGCAGCTTCCAGAACTTTCCAGTCCATTTTTCAGTTTTCTTTTGTGTGGCCTTTTTTTTTATTACTTGACCAGATCCTAGCCACACACGCTTTAAAATCTCTACCTCAGTAGAACTGGGTGAAGAAAAGCAAGGTTCTCTCTCTGTTTTTTCTTCCTTCCTGTTATTCCTTTTCCTTACAGCACCTTGTTTGACATGTGCGTACTGTGAATGTTAATACTCAGTGATTTTATTATGAGTTGAAAAGTGAAAATTTCATAAGATAAGGTGAGGTCTAGCTCAAACCCTTGACTTTTTCTTCCTGCTTGAAAGCCGTACACCCAATTCCTCAAATATGATCTCATTATTGCAAGTATGGAATTGTGTTTTGAGACTGACTCATCTATCTCAAAGGATGAATTCTCATTAGGGTGGAGGAAACCAATTCTCTCTTGCTTAATAGCGAGAAAGTTTTTTTTTCTTTCTTTTTTTTGCCTTTGCTGCTGGCTGCTGCAAATCCTTAAGCTTAAAACTTATTTTCTCTTCTTGCCAACACAAGCCACCCATGGTGAAGAAGTAGATCTCTTTATCAGCATTGTTATGATGCTGATTTACACTATATCTGGTCACCCTTTACACTCTGTTTTTGAAAGCTGGAATGCAACTCATTAACAGCCATTAATATCATTGCCACTACCTTAATGGACCAAGAATAGAGTCCACAAGCTTTTGGGTTAGGTTGGATTTTCAAGATAATCAGTGTCTTTAATGCCAACTCATCAAAGGGTTAAGTTTCTTCTCAGGAGCTTTCCGTGCTCCTGTGCAAACCTGTACAGCAGATGAGAAGCAGAGTGAGTGTCAGTGAGGTATGTGTAGGCACACACCCCAAATGAAGGGGAGTATACATGCAGACAGAACACCTTCAGCCTTCTGTCTCCTGTTTTACCTCAGGGGAAGTACCAGCTGCCTGACAGTAACACTCAGTTTTAGCCTAATATTTATTCACCAGACAGAGACACATACCACTGCAGCCATGGGGAAGCAGGTAAGATCTGTTAAAGAAACATTTAGTGGGACTGGATCAAGCGACTTTAATTAGTGCTGAGTCTTGACTTTAGATTTTGTTTTTTTTTAATTGCATGACCAGTGCTAATCACCTCAAACTGAACAGCAGGGAAATTGACTAGCACTGTGCTAAGTCACAAAGGGTGAAAGATGGGGCCTTTATCCTTTCGTAAAAGGTTTCTGGCAATTTTTTCAGCTGTTCCTTGGAATCTGCTATAGTCTACATAAGAAACTTACACACTGCAGTCTGCACAGTGAAGGAGAATACACGCATGGATGCACAGGATTGCACAAACAGGTTTGCATAAGAAGAAGACGTAAGACACTAAAAGTGTGGGTTGTTTGTGCTTCTCAACATAAAAGTTAATTTAAAAGGGAGGGAGGCCAGATATGTTGTCTTAATATGAAGTTCACTCATGCGTGCACATGCATCAAATCTGCTGACAACTGAACAAAACAACTGTTGGTAAATTATTCAGCTGGCAAAAATAAATAAATAAATCTTTTGCTATTCACAGGAAGAAATGTGGTGCTAAGGTTTTGTGCAGTTTTGTGTATTTTTCCTGGATCGCTCATAAGTTTCGACGAGAGGCATTTCCCTCCCTCAAACTTTTATTTTGGTGGGAACTGAAGCAATGCCATGTTGTTTCAGACAGACCAGAATGTGCAATTGTGCCAAATAACTGCGGATAGGGAACTCTGGTGAATTCATTTAGGATTTTAGTACTTTCCTACATGCAAGCATCTGGATCTGTTTTTTCTCTGAAACACCCTGCTTGCTACAGTTTTAAGCGACCGAACTATTTCTTAACATCAATCTTTTGTGCCTGAGGTATTGAATAATAATCATATTATAAAGACACAGAAGAAGATAGCTTGAATGTATTATTATTCCCCTGAGTGCTTTGGATGTCTGCTGATTTTAATATATGTTTTAAAACTCCCTCTCGCCTTCATTATATAGCTCTATTTCGTCAGTCCTCACTCCAAATGATAAACAAAACAGTCTCCATCGGCTCAGCAGTGCCAACTCCATCAGCTGTGAATTCTCTGCGCCTCGTTGTTGTGACAGAGCGAGAGCTGATGCTAGGTCACTCTCATTGTCAGAGCCAATAACTGTAAATGGGAATGGGGTCTTGTGGGGAAATGGGGCCCGTGTGATTGTAATGTGTGCGCATGCATGTGTTTGGACTCGCTGCACAGTGCAGCTGAAGCATATCCCTCTATCAGTGATACCTCTGCAAATGTTCATCCAGTTTAAAACCTTGAACAATGTGCTTCACAGGCCAGGGTTGAGAAATGTGTCCTAAACTGTCTCGAAGGAATGTTTTGTTGACATGTAGATGGAGTGTAAGTGAAGGTTTTTTGTAGGGCCGCACCAAGCCAACATATACAGCGAAGCAGTAACACCTCAGTGACAGACTGTTATGTGTACGTTCTCTACACGACGGCGGTTATCATGGTCAGTGCTAAATGAAACGGCGACGGTAGTGTCAAAATTTAATTTAACCCGCAAAGATAGTGTGTTGAAAACATCGCTCAGCTCAGACGCAGCTGACCCAGATCACAACAGCTGCACTTCTGCTTTTGGCTCCAACAGTCTCTATGAACGCATGAACACAGTGCACCAAAACAGATGTTCAGAGCTCCTCAAGCATATCCTGGCGTAGGATGTTTGAGCACAGCGGCACTGTGTCTTTGTTTCTCTAACGGAGAACTGGAGAACAGATAAGTGTTAAACCTCTTCACTGGAGAGTAGACGGTACACTTTTATTCCTTCCTGTGTTGGATAAGTACTGTCTTTAATTGCTGCCTCTTGTGTTTGTGGGGGTATTTAGCTCAATGCTTCACTATCTTTGATAAGATAACTCCAGTGTTGTCAGTGAGAGTATAATGATAAAGACATGACACTAGTTTTAGTGGGTCCCTCAGAAGCTGGAAGCAATTACAGATTCCTCCAAGCAGCAAGAATGTAGCAGGCGTTCACCATGCACTCTTTCAGAAAGATACATTTTTGTCAGGAAAAATAAAAAATAAAATAAAATACAAGCCACGACTTTCAGGCCTTGGAGCTGTGGTGTGGACTAAACATAAAACATGACCTTACTTTTCCAAAAAAAAGGGGGTAAAAAAATCCTCAGTGTTTCAATTCAATGAGAAAGCACCAGACACAGTAGGCTTTGAACAACGCAGTATAAGTAGTTGCCTCTGTAAATGATATATGAACGTTTCCTTTGTTCTTCCACTTTTTTCTTTTGATCCCTTGTCATAATTTTCAAAACTTCATGCTCATCATTTCAGGGTGGAGTGTAGTAAATATACGCTTTATACGTGCCGAATAAGGTTATTACTATTCAAACATTAACAGAGTGTCTTAAAAGCGTTGCTTTAAAAGCACTAAACAGACATGCTCTGTAGGGAATCCCTTAAAATATGCCTGTTTATGTCAATATTTTATAATAAATTCAGTCCCACCACTTAGGATCACAGCATGTATTCGTTTGATACACTATAGTAGAGAGCAGAACAGGGCTGATAATTGATTCTGTTGCTGGCATAACTGAACGTAGCATCAGCAAAGCCGCAGAAAACTAAGAGGACAAGAATCATTTCTAGGTCACTGCCCACAGCGGCTCTATACGTTCTGCCAGTCTATCATAAAGCACAGTGAATGTGCGTATGTAGATGCTGGATCTTCTACAGTTTATATCCTTAAACCTCCTACACTCTAAAAATGAAGACGTGCAGATTTTCTTTGAGATACCAGCTTAAATTGCACAAAATAACACCTCCGTTGAAAGCTGAAGATAAACTGCAGTGAGTGTTAATTGGCCTGGTACTAACGGGCTCGTTCATTTGGTTGATGTTTGGATTGATTGTGTGTTGCTTTGTTGTGGGCATCATGCCTTGGGGATGAAAGCAATTAAAGTGTTGAACCTTTGCCATGGCGGGGGCAGTCTACGCTTTCATCTTATTGTTTATTGGCAAAATGAGAAGTGTTTTGGACTGTCCTAGTTAGGAAAATAATTATTGCTGCTTAGATCACTGTTTGCACTCAAAAGGACAATCTGGATGCCAAAGCATGCGCTAACTCAATTGGGCATGTACATTCAGACTTTAATTACCGTCATTTCTGAAGGCTTAATGGCAAACATAACATTGTAAAGATATTCTCCTTTGTGTTGCCTTTCACTTGCATGTGCTCTATGAGGTGATGCGTGCCATTTAGTGAGCAGACCTTAACAATTGTGAGGATGTATATAGCTGTGTATTAAAGCCAGCCATGCAGCATAGCCCTGGAGACTGATCCCATCTGTTCAAGGCCTGGCTGCTTAGTTAGAAACTCATCAAAATGTGGTCCCCCTAGGTTTGTGGACCCCCCTTTGTCTCTCCATTTGTTACCTCTTTGTCTCATTGCTGAGAGGGTGGGGTGCCAGGGGCAAGAGCTCAACCCCGGAATAGGGGAGGGGTTGGTGGGCCCAGGCATTAATGGAGACAGTATCCATGAAATAGCCCAGTGGAAGTGACGCTTCCTGGACATGTTTTACGCTTGCATGAGCATACGGCTGGGGTTGGGGTAGGGTAGAGAGCTTTACCAATGAGGGAGGGAGTGTGGAAAGAGACTAGCCAGGATGCTACTGTATGTTTTGTTTAATTTCCCATGTGCTGCTGAAAAACAGAGCTGAGCTGTCAGTGGGAGTTGTATCTTACTTCTGCGTTTTTGAAGATTATTCTGCTATACCATGTAAGTCAGATTTACTTGTTACTGTTTGGCTGCTAATGAAATACCCTGACTCTTTAATTAGTCCTGATGCTTTAGTGAGCATTTCTCATCATTGTCAGAGCATTGTTTGGAGCATATGGTGTCTGTCCTCTAGTTCCAAAATGTCACCTTAAATTTTATTCTCTGTTTAATGTATATTTAAGATTTTCTTTGTTAGGTATGAAAGAGATTTGAACTTGGGAAAGACTAAACACCAAGATGAAACATATGATGATGATGATGATGATGATGCAGTTTAAAAATGTCTGCTCATTTGTTCACTTGGATAGATCCTGTTTTTTTCCCTCATTAAAGTTTATGTAACATTCAATTTCACAGCCTATTTTTTTCTAACTTCTTATCTGCTTTTTCAGGAGGGTATTTCTAGCCCTTTTCAGGTCTTTTTCTCCCCCAATTTATAGAGCTTGATGTGCCAGCCATCATCAAGAGAACTGCCTCAGGCTGTAAATGGCCTTATTTAGTGAAGATGAATATTCATTTGTTTAAATAATTATTCCAGCCATGCTGTTATTTATTGATAAGGAAATATATGGGCGCTATAATATGACCTTTTTTTAATTCTAGTAAGATTACACTAAGAAAACAGTCCACAAAAGGTCACATATACAAATGCATTAACAAAGTATAAACAAAATTGCTTCTGTTACTCCTCAAACATCTGGAGTCCAATTTGATATAAGCTTGATAGAATGAAACTGCCAGTTTATATTTCAGTCATGTTGATGCATTATGACATAATCCGTGGTAAACATTTGGATTTATACAGTTTATTATATCTGCTTTTAGTGGAAAGCAGAGCTACTAAGTAACAAGAAGATACCAAAATAAATATGGATCAATTTGCTGGACTTGAAAGCCCCTGAGAATTTGTGTGTTAACAAGGATCAGATTGGGTTTCCAGTGGGTGAGGTGGGGACAGTTGTTAAAACCACAGCCCAGACAAGTTTTATATTTATGGGATGAGTAAAACAGAAACAGACATTTTTCCACTTCACGTTTATTACAGTTCAGAATAGGGCGTGACTTTAGACTGACCCTGAAGTAGCAAGTCATTTTCATCTTTAAAAAGCACTGGCCGCAAATGTCAGGATGACTTTAATGTCCTGAGTTTTATTGCCTTTTACTGCCCTAATATGATTCTCAATATGAGAGCAAGCAGTGAACTAATTATTCTGCAGACAATTTGTGGATATATATATATAGTACTCAGAGCAATAGCACTTTCCTGCTGATTTTCTTGCTGTTGGAAATTATTGAAAAGGTCGTGTGCATCTAAGGACTGATATGAGGAATATCTACCTTTGCTGTGTTTTGCACCAAGACTTAACTTTAGCATTATTGTTTTCTGCTCCCAGAAAGAAGAGAATGTAAGGAAGGAGTGTTAAAAGAGTGCTAAACTCTCAGGAAATAATAGCTAGCTTGTTTAGCAAGGTCCTTTTACAGACTTTCTGGTCGCACAGTCACATACAAATAAAATATTTTAATTGTAATCACCAACTGGACAAATTATTTGTCCAACTGCAACAAGAAGTCAAGAAGTTCAGTGACTCACATTAGCGCAGGTAAAGCTTAACAGCAAGCTAGCAGCCTTATTGGTACTAGCTCGCTGTACCACCCAGAACAGCCCTGCCATTAATTTTAAGCCATAAAGTGAATTATTTAAAAATGATGCCATAAATGTATTTATTTCTGCTCTTTGGTTTGGGAGCCGGCCTTAAAATGCCACTAGGTTTTTGTGACAGTCATATTAGCTTCATCTTTATATGCTGCTTGGTAGTTTTTTATGTATTAAATTGATTTGTCCTGTGAAGTTTCACATCCATTAGTATGTTAGTTACATGGCCATAGGAGTCACCCGCTTAATTTGCCTTTTGTTTCTCAATTTAGTCATGGTCACCGGGAGAAGAGCGACCTCTCTCAGGTATTGTTGTCTCGCTAACAGCGTCTTTACACATTTTTGCTCCTTACAAAACGTTGCAGACTTTAGATTGGCATGGGTTGCTGGAAGGAACTGGACAGTGACAGACAGCAGTAGGCTTGACTGAGAAACAAACAAGCTGTGAAGAGAGAGCTGAAGGTTTGCCAGTGAAAAGATTAGAGTGGCATTTGGCTGGAGCGCCAAGATGCACCGTTGCTCTTGCCACACTGTCATGGCAACGGAAGCTTTATACTTGCCTCCCAGTCCCCCCGCTGAGTGTCCAGACTGTACCAAAGAGTCATTTAAAGATCCTGGGATTATTTGTGTTGACAGTAGTTAGCCATTTACAACATAAATTACATTTTCCTGAATTCAGCTGCATTAAATAGACATTTGCTGCCCTCTTTGATTATTCATTACCATGGCTTTACATTCTTTTGACAGGTGAATGAATAAGACGCAAAAGGTCTATTATAAAAGAGCATGTAAACTTCGCTGAGCATCTTCACAATTCAATCTGTCCCAGAGCTCTCATTTGTCATGCAGAGCACCTCTGTTCCCTGGTGACCAATCAGGAGTCCTTCCCTGTTGGCTAAAAGCACCCCCTTCACTGCCTCATCATCATTTGTGATTGACAGCCTCCCACAGGAAGGAGGGGGCTTATTTACCTCCTTGTGTTCTCATGGGACTAAGTTAATGATCCCAGCCAACAAAATAATACAAAGAGGGAAAAGCCTGAGAAGTCGGCGCCTGGTTGAACCATTTGGAGCAGTTTCGGCTTCTTTTATAGAGGATTAGAGAAAAAGAGGCTGTGTGAAGAGAATTTCAGAGATAGCAGTGAGACAGATGAAGCAGCAGAACCCAGACAGAAAGTGGGAGCTGAAGGGAGGCTTCTGAGGAAAGCCGGTGTTTTGAGAAAAATCCCTTCCTGGGCTTTATTTCTGTATTCATCTGTCACCCTGGCTGTGAACTGTGTGCTTGACTGAGTAACAGACAGCGAGGTAAGGCGTGATCTGTATTTCCAGTGGATGACACTTTAAAAGCTGTTTAGGTTTCTTTTAGACTTTGGAGTTTGGCTTTGAGGGAGTTTTAGTGTGCTAAATTAAATACGGTATTCTGCATATTTTTTTTGTCTGCATGTTTGAAATGTAGATATAAAAATGTAAACAAACATCAATGGTGATTTTATGGCCCAGTGAATTTTTCTGTGGTGCTCAGTTAAATATTTTTGCACTTTATTGCATGCTTCCACACTGCACATGGTGCTGACCTAACTGCAGCTGCAGTTATGATGCATTTCAACTCATTATTTGAGTTAACATATATAAGAATCTAAGTGTTTTTGTCATTCCCCTACATTTCTTTTGATCCTTTTTTATACTGAAAAATAAGATCTCACTGCTCCTCCTCCGGGGTTTTGGCTTAAAGTTAATCCAAACCAAGCCATGCCTTATATATTGTGGTTTAACCCCACAACATAAACGTCTGCTTTATATGGATGCCATTTAAAAAAAGAAGAACAAAAACCACTCTGACCTTATGTTGTTGACAAGGTTGTTGCAGGTAATGCCCTGCCTCAAAAGTAAGCTCGAATTCAGTGCTAATAAACGGATCAAACTTGATGTTATCAGTCTCACTATTTGGATGCCAATCCTGTCAGCCAGCACATGTTTGCGTTGGAAGCGTTTCTGTGAGACTGGTGAACAGATGCCAACAATCTGAGAAAACTTTCAACAATATCTAAGTCAGCTGTCGCAGCCACATTACATTCCTGTGTGTTTCCATTTCAGTGAATGTGTTCACAAGAAAAAAAAGGAAGAAAGAAAAAGAAAAGGTGTTATTGCTTTAAGAAATAAGCTTTCTTCTGAGCGTTTTCCAAGCTAACATAAAGTAACCTTCCTACCTTGAGCAATGTTATTCATCAGCATTGAGATAATGAAGATAGCAATTCTTAATAGTTATATGGCATAAATGACTGACAGTTTATTAATATACCTCTGCTTAGCCATGATAGCATTTGCAAAGTGTCGCTCTTGTACTTTCTGAACAGTTGATTAATAATTGATTACTGTGTTTCATGAGGCACTATTCCATTTGGCTCCATTGAACCGTGACTTAGGCGTGAAGCATATTTCTAGCTGCATTATTCTAGACTAATTTTAGCAGGGTTAACTATAAAGCATTGCAAATTTTGGTTTATATTATATGCAAATCTCATCGTACGAAACATGCAATGAATCTGAAATGAATCTGTTTATTAATGCAGTGCATGTTGTTTTTGTGGCATGCAGCTCAGCTATTTGGGGGAAAAAATCCATTGGAGGATGACAGCAAACCTCTTTCCGGAGTTATGGTAACACCCTATGCTCTAACAGTTCCGAGAGACAGACCAAACCAGTGAAAGGCCTGCCCCTTTCTTATGATTGGCTATCTCAACAATTTGCAGCCCACTACTTGTAGATGGGATAGGTGCAGTTCTCAGTGAGGGAAGAGAAAAGGGTGGTAAGTTTTGATCTTCCTGCTGTTTTTTCAGTAGGCTAGAAGGAAAGAGTTAGTGTCAGAAACTCACAGAGATTCAGGGGGCGAGTGACTTTGCTTAAAGTTCAGACCGCTGCAGTGGATCAGCTTGGTAGAGCCTAACTATCAACACTGACTGACTTTAAACGTGGCTCTTTCCTTCTGCTTGTTTATTGCTGTAATCATGTGGCAGGTAAGTCAGAGGGTCATTCTTAGCTCTGTTCACTGTGTTTCTGTGCCTCTGTATTTTTCTACCAAAACAATGAGTCATATGTTTCTAAGCCTGTAGGCAAGGATCTGTGCAAGAGCTGAGGTGGTTTGGCCTTGTGGTGCTCACAGATTCCTTCATGTTATGAAGTGTGGGTAGAACTTGTGGAATAAGATGACTAACTTGGAGGGCCAACAGGGATTTTGTAATTAAAAAGCGTCAAAGAGAGTGGGAGCAGACAAAGTCGATTTCCAGTGTTAAAGCAGCAATTCAGTGTAGCATTTCCTAAAACACACACTTTTACATGGCCTCTGCCTGAAAGAATATATCTTTTAGCCTTATTTTCTTTTCTCCCTCCCTCTCTCTCTCTCTCTCTCCTCCCACTTCCCTTTTTTTTTCCAACCCTTGCTCAGACTTAGAGATCCACTGCAGCACTGAGGAAGATAAAGCCACTCTTCCAACCACAATCTTGTGGCCTCGTGACCTACAAAATACCATTTACGGAGCTGATAAGATAAAGGATACAGACATTTTCCCTCTGCAAAATCTATCTCTATTTATATAGTGTGTGTGCGTGTTTGTGCGTGCATGCGTGAGCCCATTTGCATCAGCCCTGCATACATAAAAACAGAGCAGAGCTAATGAAGAGTGAAGCTGAGTTATCGCATTTGAGTCTGTGGTTGCCCCTGTTAATAAGTAACTTATCTCATTCACTTGAGGAGGAATGTTAGACATCTTCCCACCAGAGCACTCCTTCTGATCACTAGTGTGACAAATAGATATCAAGCTGTCACCATGGTAACTCACGAGGTCTTTTTATAATGTATAATAATTAGAGTTTAGGAGAAGGAGCTGCAAGTGGTGGACGCTTTGGGAACAGAAGTATTAACTGACTATTAAATTTTTACACGTTTCTTAAGATTGCAGTTATTTTTTATTTTGGTGGGAATTTATAGGTCACCATTTAATTTCAAAGTCAGACCGGACACTGTGCTTGCTGCAGTTCACAAATCAGCCACACGATGTCGCTCTTTGAATGTTTTCCACAACAGTTAGACTCATTCTTGTTGAATGACGTCTGCAAACTGCTTGTCCTCGCACAGGGGACAGACGGTAACCAAGAGCAGGTCTAAACATTATTTATGATTTCAGCAAAAACGTACAGATTGAGATAGATCCGAAGTGAATGAGACATTTCTTCTGTGTGGACGTTTGAGTCACAAAACCACAGCTGCATACTTGGAAAGTCACATTTTCTAAAGTTCCTGTGGTGGTGGAAAAGGATACAGTGTTTCCCCGCTGATGCCACCTGCCAAGCCGCCGAGAGGAAATGAGAGTTTGGTGCAACTTCTGATGTTGACCGGGATGACCTGTGTCAGTAAACATGCAGAGAAGTGACAGGCAGGAAGAATGAACATATTTCAGCTGACCTCTACACCTCCGTTTCCATTTCTTACGCTGTGAGAATGCCATTGCTAACATTAATTGGACCTGGTTTCCAGCTAAAGCTTTGTTTGCACAGCCACAACACCAAAACTTATAACGCTGTTATTCTTCTCCGTGCAGTTGTGCTTGACAGATGCGTTTTGAATTCAGTTGCCGAAATATTTAGATTTGTAATTAACTTGTCCTCCGTAATCATTTAAATAACAGCATTTGTAGCCCTTGGTCAGGGCCAGTTCCCATTAAGCTAATCTCAGTAATGTGTGCAGCTGCACATCAGGTAGATTTGTCAGTCTAATCAGCTGATTTGTGCTGCTGCAGCTGTAAATCATGTTAGGCCAGAGTGGGCCGCTGCTGAGCTGGCTGCTTCAGGGAGCAGCAACAGGCCACACATTGGTCACAGCTACGCTGTGAAGACAGGATTATAGATAAATGTGTTAGGTGTGTGCCCCAGGAAGGAAGACAAAGAGCAATCACACTCTTTCAGACTCCGAATACAGGGTTCAGAGCTATCATTAAGGGCGATAAAAGACCATAACCAAAGGGATTAGGCAGTACTTGAACAGGAAATTGTCTTCATATCTGAGACTTTGTAATTGTTTCATCTCTTAGTGACCCATTAGTTGACTTCCTAATCAAATAAAATTGCACATGTTCAGTTAATACTTCAGTTTAAAGACAATCACACATTTAATTTGTTATTTCCCATACCTGTGATTCTTTGGATACCATACCCTAAGCATCTTCCTCAGTATAGAGTATGAAGAGAAACTGTCAGCTGAAAATGCTGCACTTATCCAAAAGCAATCAGTTTGCCAAACGTAGCTGTTAAAGTGATGTATAGAGTCAGATGTTTTTGTACAAGGTTTTATGTAGTATTCTGGTTGTATGGTCGTATTACTCTCCAAAATTAAGGTCTCATCTTATTTAACCATTATTGTTGAGAGAACTGAACTTTGGATCTCATTTGTTTTCATATTTAATGCTTTATGGTCTCAAAGTATGTAACTTCATAACACCAGAATACTCCCATAGCAATATTATATCAATACAATGTCTGTCATTATTAATGCATGTTCCAATTGGTGTGGATATGTGATATAACCTAATACAGCTTGTCCCAAAAGGTAATGAAATTTTATGTAGGCAATATTACAATGCCCCATAGACAGACAGTAAGTACCAGCATTTGACTGTTCCCCTTTTTCTCATTAAATGGGAACAGAAGTCAGAATTTTGCCTTACACTTGTGAATACTTTGGTAAAGAGCAAAAAAAAAGAGGTTATTTTTAAACTTAACTTTGAATCTTTTCAGTCATCAATGTACATTTTTCTCCTGGTTTCCCTAAGCGCTGTTTATTCAAACTGATCAATTTTCTGTGCGATCTTATGATAGACACCAAATTCCCTGGCAATACCAGTGACATTCCAATATGTATCTCACAAGCAATGTACCTTCTACCCAGTCCTTTGTACAAACTGTAGCATGCCTTTAATAGTTATAGTGTACCTGTCTCTCAGAGAGAAAAGTCACCCTGGGGACTCTTTTGATTGACAGAAGAATTCAAATGGAGCGCAGCAGGGGTGTGTCTGGAAATAGAGGCACATGGTAAGCAGATGGTACCTCAGTGATTCCCACATGAGGGCCAGCTGGTACAGACTGGAATGTAGCACATAATGTTAGAAAGTGCCAGTCTTTATTTGTAATTGTATGGCAGATTCTTGGTGCCTCAGCATTTTTTTTGCTGAGCAACTTTACAGTTATTTTGCAGCCTGTAAAAATCCATTGCATCAGATTTGTTGCATATTAAATAACAATGGCCTCAGAGAGGAGGGATAACAGACTCCGATAGATGGTGAACCAGCGATTCCACATAATTTTCTTGACTGGATGCTGCGGGAATCCCAAACCTCTGTCCCACATCACAGATGAGTCCCGCTGCCTCCCGGGCTCCTTCTCATCTGTGTTTGTGTCTTCAGCCTTTCTTTTTGAATCTCCGGTGGAATTGCCAAGTACCTCAGCATTGTGCTACTTGAAGCAGAGGTACAGTCACACAAGGGAACCTGAAACTGATCCGAACGCTTTGAATTTCTGAATGGGCAGGGCTGAGGGGACACTGACCTGCCTGTGAGGATGTGAGCTAGGGCTCTACATGATACTGTGCCTCTGCTTATTTGCTGATTTTGACTCTCGCTCTCTTACACGCGCACTCTCTCTTTCTCCCTCTCTCTCTCTCGCTGTTGCCTGCTCTCTCTCTCTCTCTCTCTCTTCTTCCAGTACTGGCCTGAGCTCCAGCTGTAGGTGGAGCTGGCTTTCCTGGAATTGTCGGGCAACTTTTCCTGTTGTGCTTGCTACCGCTTGCTCAATCACTTGCTTAATGACAGCTCTGCTGCAGGACTTATGGGGCTCTGAAAACTTGTGCCATCTGGATGCATATCTCTACAAGCATGCTGGAGTTAATGACTGGTGCATTTTGTGGTATAAACATATTTTCATGATTCGAGTCAGAAGTTCTCCTTCAGCAAAAATGTCTCGGCAGTACAAAGTGGGGCGAAATCCATCGGTGGGTAAAGTAAACTGTGTATGAATGGGAGCACTTTCAGGAGTGCGTAATGTACTTGGGGCTGTAACGCACTTTGCAAGGGCTCTTTGCCACAGTGTTGTTTTACAAGCTTTTTATAATGTGTGGATATTTTATACCATAAGCGATGACATCAGAGGATAAGTGTCTTTTTGCTTTGTGTTTGTCACACAAAGCCCTTTATTTAGTTTGTATTTAGGGCATCCTATTGAAAATAACAGCTCGCAAAAGCATTATGTTTATCCAGTTGCTTTGCTAAAAAAAATATAATGTGTGATTTTGTCTTTTCTCTTGCTGCGGAAAATCTAACAAGTGGATGAAATTTTGAACAAGAAGTTGTTTTTTTTTACCATGTTTTACTATCATGTTGTTACCCTGTAGAGGTTTATTTGCTTTAGTACAATGCAAAAATGACTTCATATCATCTGTAAAGTTAACATAATATAGTTTTGTTATTAAATAACATTTGTTCCTGAAAGCATATTTTGTTCACACCAGAGGGGTTTGGACAATGGAGCGGTATCCCTTGATTCTCAATTTCTAGGCACCTACATTTGCTGCTTTGCCTTTAAAGAACAAAATAGCACTGAAACAAAGGCCCGCAGATGCATCAGAGTCACAAGAGACAAGTGCAACAATTGCTTCTTTTCTTGTGCAGTACAGTGGGATCGCTGAATGTCTGCGAGGATTTGAATAGAATAGAAAGAACAAACCCAGGTTTGTAGCTCATAGGTAATTGCTGTATCCTCATAACTTCAAAAGGCTACTTGTGCCCGACTGTCCTGATAATGAGCTTTTGCCTTCTTCACACATAATGAGTGGAGGTAGAGAGTTCACATAGAAAGACGCTGTGAGCACAGTGTGTCCACTCGCAGCTGGGGTGTCTGACTGGCCGGGAACAAAGGCTTAGTGTCTGTGATGGTGTGTAGCCCCAGCCATCAGCAAGCAGGCCAATACACTTCTGCTTGGCTGAGTTGTCAGTCCTCACTGGCCTGCTGGCCTACGGGCTACAGTATAGACAGGCTAGACTATTCCTGTGCCAAATTAAAAGGAGCTGCTGCTGCATTCTTTTAAGTTCTCAGTTGAGCCACGCAGACCAAACTGAAAGCTGATACATGTTTATGTATTATGTGCAAACACGTGTTTTTGCCCGAGAATTTTCCTGCTTGCTTGTTTTATTTTTCCAGTATTCTTCATTTCCATAATCAGATATCTCTTACAAATATTTATGTAATAAAATATTAATGTTTTTTACATTCAGTCGATTTCTGGTGCATGCTGAAACTCAAGTAGAGATGAATAACTTTGTTTTTATTATCATAAATACTGGTAATTAGATCGGGTATGCGTAATGTGTTTTTTATTGTTCCTTCCAAAGAATATGTTGGATTTGATTGTGGACATTAGGACTCCAGCTAACTATTGTTTCTCCATCAGTTAATCTCAGAAAAATAACTTGATAGAAACTAATAAGCAACAGTCTATCATTTTTTTAACCTTTGTCGCTGCTGCTAGCATTTCCTGATTTATTTTTGTGTCATCTTTACAGATAGCTGATCAGCTTCCCTGGATTTCGCTGAACATCCCGCTTTGTTTTGCTTGAAAATGGAAACGCTGGAGTCTGAGTTGACCTGCCCAATCTGTCTGGAGCTTTTCGAGGACCCACTGCTGTTACCCTGCGCTCACAGTCTTTGTTTCAATTGCGCCCACCGAATCCTGGTCTCCCACTGCACCCCCAGCGAGCCAATTCAGTCCATCAGCGCCTTTCAGTGCCCCACCTGTCGCTATGTCATCACCCTCAACCAGAGGGGCTTAGAGGGACTCAAACGCAACGTCACTCTGCAGAATATCATCGACCGCTACCAGAAAGCTTCTTTAAGTGGACCCAACTCTCCTAACGAGACTCGGCGTGAGCGAGCCATCCCTGACAGCACAGCCATGACGTCCCCCTGCAACCGGGTCCAGTGTCAGTTCTGCGAACAGGACCCTCCACAGGATGCCGTGAAGACTTGCGTCACCTGCGAGGTGTCATACTGCGAGGAGTGTCTCAAGGCCACCCATCCAAACAAAAAGCCTTTCACGGGACACCGTCTAATCGAGCCCTTGCTTGACTCACATCTACGAGGGCTTATGTGTCTGGAGCACGAGGACGAGAAGGTCAACATGTACTGTGTGACGGACGAGCAGCTGATCTGCGCATTGTGTAAGCTAGTTGGCCGACACCGAGACCACCAAGTCGCAGCCCTCAGTGACCGATATGACAAACTCAAGGTAAGAAATAATTTTAGAGAAGCTCGGGGATTTAGGACACAGTGAGAACAGATTTTTCACTAATGTTACCAGCACATAATTGAGAGACGGTTTCTGAATTTTTCAAAAACCTCTTTCAGCTTCTCAGCATGACAGGTTGGCAAGCTGATAATGAAAATATTGAATTTCCACATTATGATAAACTTAAGTGGGCTTTTTGCACAGCTCGATTTTGGCAATGCACAAACACACAGAGATAAATTAAGAGTATTGATTACAGGAATGTGAAACTAAATCTCATCGATTTATTTTTTAAGTCGTTTATCTGAAACAGACAGTCAACAAGAAAGTACTCCATGACGGATTTGCTACTCGAAAAATACAGATGATTTACAAGAATAAGTGCAATAATACTTCGCAGTTCTAGTAAGAGAGATAGAGGGGTGTTTTTGTGAAGCAAGTTTAGAGTTGAGTTTTTCTGTAGCGAATTAGCAAACACTACAAAAGTTCCTTTATTCGGCATTGTGAAATAAATAATTGTACGAAATGACTTCCTCTCTAAATTACGCTTAGCGATAATGTGTTTACTTTGAAGCTGTTTCCCACTTGGCCAGTCAGAGACTGCTTTCACACTTTTAGGTAGTACTGCTCATTGTCAGTAGATGGGCCGACATGAATAAGACATAAGAAGATGCTGTTTGCTGGAGTATAAAAGGGCGGTTTGGCTTTTCTTCACAAATAAGCTTCTATCATAAAAAAACTAGCTTAGGTAGGTGTATAAAGTAACTCGCAAACACAACAGGATGATTTTATCGTCCACTATAAGCCAGTTGTTCCATGGAACTTTTAACACAAAAAAGAAAGTTACCATACACAAGGGAACATCAAACATTTACTGTTTTAATTTGGGAAAGTCTTAAACTCGGCTGCAAAAAGCTTTTCAGTTCAGTTAAAGTTCACCTTAAAGTTTGTCTGCATGGCATAGGCTGCATGACAAAAAAAGAGCACCCTTATTCTTTTCACAAAACACTCCCTTAATGCATGACTCACAAAAGGATAGTTTTATGTATCACACGCAGCACTGAAAGCCTTTTTTGTCCCCATTCCTTTCTTTCACAATGCTTGGTCACAGTGGAAGTGGGATATAAACAATCTTTTTGCAACATATTGGGAAGATAGGACCAGCCTTAACCTCTCTCCTTTGTTTGATCGTGCTGTCATTGTGCAGAAATCTCCCGGCCGCTTTCTCTGTGTGGGGCGTGATCATTCGTTCCAGGAGGCAGAGCAGGTGATCAGCATCATTTCTTTAATTACACATTCGGGGCAGATTTACTGCGTAGATCTGCCTGGACCTGAATGTAACTTTTGAAGGGATCGATTACCAAATCAAGACCAGTGAAATGAAAGTGAAACGCTAGTTGCAGCTGGGCTGCATAACATGAAGTAATGAGGCATGGCAATATGGCCTGGATGGTTATTAATGCTAGAGTTAAAGCACTCAGCATTGTGAGCCTGGTGTGTTTTAATTATTTCACGAAGTAGTTAATGTGTGCTGTGACATTGTTACTTCCCTTTTAATGAGAATAAAATCCTGCAGATGTTTGCAGACATTAGGATTGTGGGTGAATTAAGGCGAACCGAATCATTTTCATCCTCTTGCAGACTGTTATAAGCAAAGGTCTATTTCTCTCTTGAAAAACATTAACCAATTACTTTTTTCGGTATCCTATCGCCGTATCTCATATTTTACTATTTCATGTGTTTACTCTTTTTTTTTTTTCCTTGATGCACATGCACTGTTAGTTGCATTGTTAGCCCAAGTGAAAGAGGAAATGATAATTTTCAACAAAGAGAGAAATAGTTTTTTTCTCATGGCATAGGACAGGACCCAGGTGGCATGCAGCTGAGCTTGTTGATAGTTGTTGGCTTTTTTCAAGCACATGTTTATAGCCACAGTGCCTCACATTTCTCGCAAATTCCCAGACAAAGGGATACTGTGACTTGTAAAGGCACACATGTGCGTCTTTGTGTGCGTGTCTGTGTTTCAGCCTTAATTATGTGACATGATCCCAGTTAAATAATTATAAATCTTATATATCCATGTTATATTTTCTTATATCGCTGCATTCCTATCAAAGTCATAGGAAAGGCAGAAGCATTAAGGAAAACCCCCTTTTTTGCCAGATAATCACAGAGCTTATATGTAAACATACGAAACAGTCATGCAGACGTTGTAAAGCTTGAGCTGATCAAACCAGCTAGATTAAAACCGTGGGAAGAAACCCATGTAAACACGTGGAAAACAAGAGGAGGAAATGAAATTAAGACCCAGGACTACTCTATAACGAGCTGACGGTGGGATACTCAACCATAGCGCTGAAATATTTATTTTCAGTGATAGTAGGAAATGGATAAGTTAAATTTTCTTCATTTCACTGTTATGACCTTGTGCGCGCCTAATTAAAAAGAGATTGCACTCATGTATTCCGCAGGTATTAGTTTCACCTCTTGACTTTGACGTACGCCTCGCATGTTCTCGTGATATAAATTTCCAAACACTGTCATCAGAGAACTTACAGCTCGGTCGCACACAGTATGTGGGTACTTTTAAAGTTCTATAAAAATCAAACCAACTGATATTTAATGTGGTATTTTTTGTGAGGAAAAAAAATCTGCATCATTACAATCAGTGTTGGAAAAGCTCTTTTTGAAAGGTTATAGAATAAAGACTACTAGTTAACCTGTTCAAACATAAATATGATTGTATTAATTACTAACTTACTACATTTGATGTCTTCAGTAAAACTAGTTCAAGTCCATTGCATTTTGATTTAGAAAGCACTTTCACAGCTGGTGAAGAAGCTTTATTCTGTTTAGTGTCAAAGCCTGTTTCTCATTTTAGAAGGAAACCATTGTTGAATTTTTAGCAATATCCAGCCCTGAGAGGCATTCTTGTTCGCCAGCGTGGTCACTCACTTTGGTGTGGTTGGCTGGTCGCAGGCATAGCAGGCTCGGTTGCTTGGAGCAGTACGCATTGATTTGACATTTGGCAGAGAAGAGGTGGTTTAAAACTAAAACAAGAACAATCAAAAACAGCATTCAAGATTTCATATTGCCACATGAATGGAGCCTGTTAAGATGTAGAGGCAGCTGACCTGCTTTTTCTGGAAATATTCCAAGGCAGGACTAAAGTGAACAATGAAAAGCAAAAAATGGATTCTACTTACAAGCTCATCAAAAAGTAATTAATAAATGTATAAGTTGATAACTTATTACAATTGCATCTATTTTTGATTCATTTACTTAAATACAGCACAGATTATACACATGTATGTATACACCAGAGTTACCACACACACTATGGTACAAATACAGTTACGGTGTTCTCCAGCAAAGTAATGCAAAACACGGCCTGTGTTGCTCACAGGATGAAGAGTCGCACAGTGAATAAAATTTCTAATGTTGACACAGGATAAAAGTCTGAGTCCTGACGTTGACCTTTCAGGACTCTAAGAGGAAGGAAGAGAGGCCAGCCAATGAAAAGGTGTGGAACCAGAAGCTTTCCCATACAAAAGGAAGCCACTATTCTTTCCTCTCATCAGATTTAAATGATTTTAGGAAAGAGACCTGCATTAGACAGAGCTGTCTAAACATGTGAAGAATATTCACGCTGCAAGAGAAGTTATTTTAGCTTAATTGAAAATGCCTGTACAGCAAAAATTTTCGCTGAGGTGATTTTACTTTGTTGTTTTTAACGGTCATACTGTATTTTGCTGTATTCACCATCAGCTGAATATCTTATGTTTCGTACACCACTTAGGAGGTTTCAAAGCCACCATAACCTGGACCTGCAACGGATCATCTGAAATGGCTTTCATCACATTTTCTTTTCCATATAAATAAATTATCTTTGTAAGAGCAGTAAAACAGAGGCTCTGCTATTTTAGTACAGTGACTCACACACCTTATGAAATCACAATGTGAGACTGAACTAACATGACAGCGCCTCTCCCACCATCTATTTGCTTTAAATCTTTGCAGGCTTCTCGTGCTTGTTTGGTCTCATCTCAAAGTATTTGTGGGTTCTTTTTTTTCCTTTTGAATAAAGGGATGTTAGTCAGAGTTATATTTTTGTGATTAGTGTTTATGGTTCTCTACAATAATTTCTTTTAAATCAATGTTTTAGGAACCAGGTGCTATAGTTACAAACAGTGAAATTCAAAGGCAGTTTGTAACTGTTTGACTGTAAAATTTCAGATGCATTCACATGTATTGCTGAAGACTTAATAATAGATTGAAATACGTTGTTCTGCTTGTATTTGATTTAGCTGGAAATGCAGGTTTATTTTATTTTAATGTCTGGTGTCAGTTTTTTTAAATGATGCTAGTATAGAAGTACTTTTAACTGCTTTTTTTCCCTAATGGGAAATTTGTAAATTATGGTCCAATTTGGAATAAAATAGAGATCATGAACACACTATAATTGACAAGTGGCTACAGCATGGGTGTGCAGTATCCTTAGTTTGCAGTCTAAATCTGTCATCCATATTTGAAGTTACAACCTTCTCCACCCATCTGCTTTTGGTTTTGCAAGACCACAGTTTTGTTTGAATTGAAATCATTTTAATATAATCATGCATTAATCTTTTACTTCCTCTGAATAATGCTTATAATATTAGACATTCTGTAATGTCACAGGACACCATCATCATGCTGCCCGATTATAGTAAGAGCTTAAGTTCGAAACATCACCCTTTGATCTGACTCGGTGATTAGCACACCCTGGGTTCAGTTGTCCAAATTACTGGCAGATGCTCTGCTTAGCTTCATGGCCTCAGTGGGCAGTATGATGGGATCTTTGGCACAAAGCTAGGACTTTGGGGGGGGGGGCTCACACTGATCAGAGCCCAAATCTGGCCACTCATATCCAGGGGCAACCTTGTGTGTCCTCTCACGTGCTCATTACACTTGATATGGTCCTTATGTTCCTATTCACCTAACTCTCTTCCAGGATTTATTCAGCTGTTTACAGTTTGATTGGAGAGGCAGTGTATAATGAAATGTTCCCTTTCAATTTTGTTTTGCAGCAAGCCTTGGATTCCAACCTCAGCAATCTAATCAAGAGGACCAGTGAGTTGGAAAGTCTGATGGGCAAACTTATCCAAACCTGCCAACATGTGGAGGTGAGGTTATTTGTCTGTTCCTTTCAGGTTGGGGGTTTTAGCTTTCCCGGCAATCCGTGGGCAACAATTCATTAAATTATTAACACCGTGATGAATTACTGTATCCGAATGTGGAATTGTATCATGTCAACAAGACTGAGTGCTCATTACTCACAAGCTCAACAATTATTGTTAAATGACTGCAAATTTGGTATTTTAACAGCATGTGTAAGCTAAATATGAATTTATTTATGTCTAGATATAAATAAATAAATATGTATAAAGTAAATAGCATGTGATTCATTGAAAAGCCTTTCAAATAAAGGATTAAGATACTGCATTATGTCAGTTATCTCAAAATGACTGTGCTTTAAATGAATGTGTGTGTGTGTGTGTGTGTGTGTGTGTGTGTGTGTGTGTGTGTGTGTGTGTAAACAAGGACAGCTGATTGCAACTCTGCTCTAATGTATGTTACCTGTACCCCTGTTTTGTCTAGGTAAATGCATCGCGACAAGAAAACAAGCTGCAGGAAGAGTGTGACCTGCTGATTAATATCATACAGCAGCGAAGACAAATCATAGCTACCAAGATAAAGGAGGGCAAGGTACCGTTTATCACACTTTGTATCTCGATAGCTTTTGTTCGTTTGTTTATCACCTCGTCCATGTTGATAACCTTGCTTCTTCACCCTAGGCTGCTGTTCTTATTAGAATACAGCAATAACAAATCACAGATGATGGGTAAAAAAAAAGACTCTTCACACGTCTACTGCTCAAAGGGAGAGTATGTAACGCACGAAGGACGCATAAGTGATGTAATGCAACGTCTACAAAGGAAGATAAAAAAAAATATGAAGAGTTAAACATATATATATATTGTCTAATACAAATCAGCAGTAGGAAAAGCATTGTAATTGAAAAAGCACTGTACAGTAGTTTAGTATTAAAAACACTATGATTTACTGTATTAATGAGGAATGGTGATACTATCTTCCAGGGAACTGATTGGTCAATGATTTCATGCCTGCTGATCTCTAATCTTCAATATAACCTGCTCTAGAGGCAAAAATGTGAACTGCCTTTATCATAAAGCAAACCCATGGTAACCCTGAAGTTACCTGGATAAGCCAAAATCAGGCTTTCACAGTGTAGGCCTCTGATTTGACTGATGGCCAGTGTTAGTTAATGTGGGCAGACACATACTGCTTTGTAATCTGTACTGATGTTAGTTCTCTAAATGTGACATTTGGCTCCATCTGGACACATGTTACACTACATAAAAGCAGGTCTTGATACATAGTTTGATTTCCAGGCAGCATAAACTTTTGTATAGTTCTAATAATTCATGGAGGAAGGATGACATTTTTTCCGGTTTCTGGTGACCATAATGGTTCTCAGACGTGTTTTCTTTGTTAGTAGCAGGGACTTTTCCTGCCAAGAGGAACCGTGGACATCAATAAAACAAAACAAACAAAAAAAGTGAACATTAGCTAAACATCAGCTATGCAAGCAACAATTTTTTACAGTCTAAAAAATTTGCAATGCATGGAGAAATGAGCAGTCTGTGAAGTGTTTGGCTTATTGAAACTCACGCTGTGTTGCAATGTAGAGAAAAAATAAAGAAAACTCTGAAACAGGATTATGGGAAAGTGAAAGTAAAGGAACACAGAAAGCGTGGATGGTGCTGTAGCCACCACTGGTCAGCTATTAAGTCCCTTCAGAGTTCCTATTAGCCATGTAAATGCAAACAGAAGGCAGGCCCTGAAAATGTGTTGTTCTCAGCGGGTAGCTTCTCTCCCCTGCCCCCCAGCAATCACCACTGGCTTTTGAAAAGCAGCTTTTATCAAAAATATACAAATAGTAAAACGTAGCACACATTACCGTGATGTTTACTGTTTCCTGCTTCACATCTTATTGAGTATTCAGTCAAGCTGCCTAACAGTGGGGCTGTTTTAGCAACTGACTGAGAAGAATCTTCAGGGAAAGAACAAAAAACACATGTGGCAAAGAGACACATGCTTCAAGAACTAAAATGTAATTGCTTGCTATCCTGTTAATGTGAACAATTATAGGGCAACAAGCAAATATATTTTTGCCACTGTTTAGGAAGATTTAGGCACAAAAACAATTTACTTGGCTATGTTAAGGTTAAAGAATACAATATAGAATAGTTAAAAGAAAAGCTGACTTTGGATTCTAAAGAGAAAACAAATTGCAGTTCTCTTCTGCAGTGTGGACCTGTGTTTCAACATATTGATGGCCACTTATACTGACGAGAGTTTATTGCTTTGTTTTGTCCTCAGTATCAGGAGCGGGTGTCCATAATTTTAATATGGATGTGTTATGCCTCTTGAATGGTTTCCCTTCCTTTTCCCCTGTCCGCCTTAGAGAAGCGGGAGCATGCTGTGCCATGTTCAGTGTCAGACTAAGATCAGTCTTGCTTCCTGTGGTGGTCCACTCTGGAGGGGGCCTCTTTCCTTCCACACCTCATGGCTCATGACACAGGTTGTGAGGTTGCTTTCAGCCACTAAGCCATTGAGCCACAGAGGGGGGTTAGAAGGGTCTGGTTTCTATGACAATACTGTGTAGGATGTCTCATGAATACCCCTCTTATGCAAGTATTGCTTATAAAACAGGTTGTAGGACAGACTCTTGTGACTATGACACTACTGAAAAAAAGTTTTTTTCTCCCCAGCAGGATTTCCTTATTGGCAAAGTGAAACCCAATTTTACATTGGATAAGTTGCCGTCTCATAGGTCATGCATCGGTTGGTAGTTTACTAAGCTATTCATCTGTCTGCATATCCTATTTTCTGCCCAGTCTGTGAGGCTGAGGAAGCTAGCCCAGCAGATAGCCGGCTGCAAGCAGTGCATTGAGAGGTCCTCCTCGCTCATCACCCAGGCTGACCAAACCCTCAAGGAGACAGACCACGCTCGCTTTCTTCAGACAGCTAAAAGTATCTGCGAGAGGTGAGACACCAGCGAAAGGCAGACACGGGAACAAACAATAGAAACTGTGTGTAAAACTGTCGCCACATATTAATGTTAATATTTTCTTTGTACCAGAGTGTCTATGGCAACAGCATCCTCCCAAATCCTGTTACCAGAAATTAACCTGAATGACACATTTGATACTTTTGCTTTGGACTTCACAAGGGAGAAGAAAATGCTAGAAAGCTTAGATTACCTCACAGGTGAGTCGGGCCACGCATGTTAAGCACAGAGCATTTAATTGTTTGAAATGAATCCTCCATGTAAATTACTATAATCTGTTTGCTTGTTTAGTACCGCCTGATCAGTTTCCCCAAAACTTTCTTTTTCATACGATTTGCCGGCTTCCTTTATTGAAAGATGCACTTAAAATGAACCACAGCTTATCCGTGAATTATGGATTTATAAAATTACAGGCTTCGGCAAGCATAACAGCGGTGAGTTCATATTTAAACTATGTGATTGTGAAGGAGTGGCAGAAAACTAAAAAGCTCATATAATTTACAGCAATAGTTTTTTTGCTGCTGAATGAAACAGGTTTGATTGTTTATGCACGGCTCCTGTTGTGCACTGTGAATTTAACTCAGCGTGGGGGATGTAGCTGTAATAGCTGGAGGAACTCCAATATAGATTAATTACACTTGTCAGAATAAAGGACACATGCAGACATTCACACAAACACACACGTACATACACACAAAGGGCTGGTGCTGTTTATCCATCACTGGTCTCTGTTTGTTATTTTGATGTTGTGTGCAGAATGAAATCAACACTGCTTTCATTATTTTCTCTGGGCAACATTTACCTTTTGTTTTGTGTTTGAAGCGCCAAATCCACCAGTAATCCGCGAGGAACTCTGTACAGCTTCATATGACACGATCACGGTTCACTGGACATCAGATGATGAATTCTCTGTTGTATCATACGAGCTACAGTATGCCATCTTCACCAGCCAATCTAATGTTGTCAGTAAGTCCATATGTTGTTTTCTAAAGGAACCACAGTCAAATGTTTGGGGTGGAAAACACGATAGTGGTGGGATTTGAAAAGGATTTCTGAGAAAGATTTTCAAATAGTTCGAGGAGGTATGCTACAATATCCAAACATAATATTGTGTTTTAGCTGCTGGAGTGGAGAGCATTGTCCTGGCTCTCGTGGGTAATGAGATGTTTCCAAAATGCACTGTAATTTTTGCTGCATCTCAGAAGGGAAAGGAAAATAACAGTCAGACTGGATTTACATCCAGATGCACATCGTAAGCTGGATATTATCTCGGGGTTGAAATAAAGAGCAGACTGCTCGAATTGATCGCCCTAATTAGCCACAACATGCTCGATCAAGCATTTATTCTTATCTGCCTCAGCGCTCGAGCACACTTGAGTAGCAGTGCAACTATACTTGATGAATTAAAAATAGCAGCCTTAGATTGAAAGAGTTCATGTTGTTATACTGTGTTGTCTCACTCCTTAGTTTAAACTTAGTAATAATTCTCATGGTGAATTTGTGCTTTGTCTATAGGTTTGTGTAAATCTGCGGATAGCTGGATGATAGTACCAAACATCAAGCAAAATCACTACACGGTGCACGGACTCCAGTGTGGCACCAAGTACATTTTCATAGTGAAAGCAATAAACCAGGCTGGAACCCGCAGCAGTGAACCAGGGAAACTCAAGACAAACAGTACGTCAGCAGCTGTTCAGAAATGCTTGTGTTACTAAATAATTATTAATACTTGACAATTGTAATTAATACTTTTTTTAAAATTGTAAGGTCAGCCATTCAAACTGGAACCAAAGTCTGCTCACCGGAAGCTGAGGGTGTCCCATGACAACCTGACAGTAGAGAGGGATGAGACATCTTCCAAGAAGAGCCATAGTCAGGACCGCTTCTCCAGCCACAGCAGCTACGGTGTCACGGGAAATGTGTACATCGACAGTGGGCGCCATTACTGGGAGGCTCTGATTGGGGGAAGCACATGGTAAAACATTTAAGTTCGTAGCATGGCTCACAGGTAGTTCAGTGTCAGACTCCTGGTTGGCTGGACTCAAGACTAAACAAAGATAGGCTCGCTAGGTAGTGGATAGATTTCCATGAAATTTGCTACATTGCTACAGTTAGAATGTCTGCTCTCATTTCTGCTTAAGTCTGTAGATGTATTGTTTTTATGTAAGCGTGAATGATGTTTCAGATTTAGAATGTTACTACTACACCTGTATTTATGAAATGTAATTATTTCCTCTCATTGGTTACGCAGGTTTGCAGTAGGAATTGCGTACAAGTCAGCACCGAAACACGAGTGGGTCGGCAAAAACTCAGCCTCCTGGGTAATGTCTCGCTGCAACAACTCATGGGTGGTGCGTCACAACAGTAAAGAGATTCCCATCGAGCCCTCGCCCCACTTGCGGCGTCTCGGGGTGTTGTTGGACTATGATTCTGGATCTCTGTCTTTTTATGATGCTGTTGGTTCTCAGCACTTGTATACGTTTGACATTGACTTTGCTCAGCCAGTCTGCCCTGTGTTCAATGTTTGGAACAGATGCCTAACAATCCTGAGTGGACTGCCTATCCCCGATCACTTAGAGGGAACAGACTACAATAACTGATAAACCTGCCCTGTCTTTCCTGGATTTTCTTTTTTGTATCCAGAAAGGGACTTGATAGTGTGCACCTTTGAAAAAAAGAAAAAAGGATACAGTGACATTGGTGTAGATTTCCAAAACTAATCTGAGCTATTTAATAAATGTTTTCTTTGCTTTGCACATTTATGTACATTACTCTTTTGGTTGGTGACAATTCCAAATTCACTAGCTGGCTCCACATTTTTTTACATTCATATTGCACACTTTTTTATTAATATACTTTTAAGGAAAATGGCGAATTTTTAATGACATCTATTAAGGGGGCTCATATGTTTGTGGAAGGTTGATTTAGAGGCCATTGGAAATTTTGTGTTTTTGAACTTTTTTAAGTCGTAGCACTTTGATAAAGTTGTCATTATAATATAAATGATTACTTGTCAATGTTTCTAAGAAAAAAAAAACATGTAAATGCAGGATCTAAGAATAATAGTTAAGAACGGTTTCACTTTTTTAATTCTAATAAGAAATCAGTCAATTCAGGGGTTTTTATGTATTTATTTCTGAAAATGTTCTAGTAAAGTTTAGCATCTCGGGAATATTCATCTCCTCATTATAGCCGTTTTAAAATGGATCTTCATCATAATTATGCCATTTTAAGTTTCTCTGACAAGATCTAATAAAAGTGACTTCGCATGATTATTTGCGTGACTATCCTCCTTGTGTCATGAATAATGCAATCCACAAATGTGTTTCAGTAGGGCTGTCACCAAAGCAGATTCGGACAGGATAATAGCATACTGAAAAACAACTGACAACAAAGGATTCACTGCAAGTTCTATAGAAATTTTGAAGAAAAGAACAATTAATTTTTTTAAAATATGTGCATTGACTTTTCTCTCTCTTTCTGACTGACTGATAACCCCCCCCCCACAAACACACACACACACACACATATATGTATATAAACGCACCATTCTTTACAATTTTGTAAAATGTGTGCCTCCTATAATATATCTGCTTTTCTACCTCATTTAATCATCAGTAACAGTACATTGTAACTTAACACAGTGCACCATCATTTATTTTTGAGTTTTATTTTAACATTGGAATGCTTTTTTTTATGAAAAGATAACACAGCCATCATAAAGAAAAGTGTCAACGTTGCTTTGCAGGACTGACTTTGACCTGCATTGAGCCACAACACAATTTTTGACAAGATTTGCTCTGACATTTCGTTTTGTATTGGAGTAGCGTGGCTTGAATTCTGCAGCGTTTCCTTTCAACAAAGTACAAGAGCAAAAAAAAAAAAAAAAAAGAAGATCTGAACTCCCTGTGACCTCCCCATGAGACACCCTGCAGACAAAGCCATAATAAGTGAGCACTATCTCCTCCATGTAATGTCACCAGAGCTTGATTTTGTGATGTGTTCATTTTTGCGTGGGAAGAAATACTTGAAGCTATTTGTGAAGAGGATCTAGTCAACCAGAAGTATACTAAATGCTACACATTGCCAGTTGTCGCTTCACCTCCTCAATTAAAAAATAAATCGTTAAATTAAAATTAATTATTGAAATTTGTCAGTAGATTTGTTAGCTGTAAAATAAACAGTGGTATTAAAGTTCCTTCCTGTTAAATAGTAACATTTAACTTAAGGACAGTTTTTTTCTACTGATTAAAAAAAAATAGTAAAACATGCTAAGCTTATATACATCAACTTTAGTAAAGTAACGCTGTAGCATGAAAAACACAAGTAGACACATTATTGTTTTTTGCACTTTTACTTCTGCATGAATAAATGGACGCAGACATAGAAGAGTTAACGGAGTGAAAATATCCCGGAGCCTGAATTTTTGTCTATTAAAAATGTTTCCCAGGGCTCCACCTGCTGGATTTATTTATTTTTTTCTGTGATAGGTTAACGTGTTGCTGGGTGCCATTTTTTGTCCCACCCACAAATTCCATCTGCCACGTTGATCTGTTTGTTTTGTGGTGTTTGTTTAGTAAAACCTACAATGGGCCTTCACCATAACCTGGATGATAGCTGAAATTTCTGGTTAGGCATCTAACATTTATTTATTTATTTATTTAACGATCAAAACCAGCTATGCACGAACAGTTACTTTCAAGTGGTTCTGTTATGACCAGTACATGCATACACACACTTTTCCCAGAGAAACAAAATGCAATAAAATACAGAAGCAGGAGTGTTCCCAAGATTTTTTGAAATGAGATGGCACTGGGGGACCAACAATCAGCTGGCAGGGGGCATGAGAAAACAGAAAATTCTATGAGAAATAAATATCAAACCACATCACTAAAAGACAAACTGAAAATTCAGCACATAAGAAAAACTTTAGTTGTTGCCTTAATAAATGTGCATTGGATGTGGGTGACCCTTGACCATGGAACTGAAACAAAACATTAAACACTGAGTCCCAAGATAATGGAGCTCACAAATTGCAGTCTGGTTGCAACCATTAATGTCTATTGTTCTGCTGAGTGGTAGAATTAAAGACAGATCTCCCATTATTCCTTTGTTTTATGTTAACCTGTGCGAGGTAAAAAAGTAATGTTAGGCAGTGGACCAAGTCACTGTGAAGTACATATATGAGTCAGTTTTTTATTAGCACAAGAGCCTTCAGCTCATATTCATTTATTATTCAGTTGCATATCGTTATATAGCTGTATTACGATAACTCACTGAGGAGCACAATACTGTTTTTCCTCAAAAGCAGATGATGGTATTGCAATGTTATGACAACACAGCTTTGGAGAGGTGACACAGGAGGCCCAAAACTGTAGCCACGTCCTTGAACATGAGTAGTTATAACTTCTATCCCTCCCTCCCTCCCTCCATCCATCCATCCATCCATCCATCCATCCATCCATTTACTTTCCCTTATACAATTCAAGGATGTGGAGGTAGATGTCTGGAGCAGCTGATCCCCACCTGGCAGCAGGGGTGCATCCTGGGTAGGTTATCAGAATCCATTACAGACAGAAAACCTCAAATTCACTGTCAAATCCACATCTAAACCAGTTCAGGAGAATGTCTTTGGACTGTGGGCGGAAACTCATATGATAATATCTTCCATTGTACCATTTGCATTTCGTTGCCCTGTACCTGTGCATGTGCAATGACAATAAAGTTGAATTCTAATTCTAATTCTATTCTATTTTGCTTAATAACTCGTTTTTTTAATGCTGAAAAAATGTCATTTTGTAATTTAAAAAAATGAAGACAGAGAAGTTCTGTATATTATCCTTTTCATGCTTTTAAAATATATTTGCAAAAGTGTTTTAAGACACGGAGCGAAACTCACCATCGCAGTGGGATCACCGACCTCTTTATCAAGCCCCGCCCACACTCCCGGAACAGGAAGTACCAGCGCGTTGCTGCTGACGTTGGTGCTGTCTAATCTAACGATGGCGTCCACAGATCAGTCCCTCTTGGACTTAACAGATAAGGAAACCCGGGAGAAACTGTCGCTATGGGACCGCCGTACCGATGCCACGGCTCCCCTCACGGAGAAACAGATGGACTCCGTCCTGGAGATCCGAGCCGCGGCCGAAAAGCTCTCTGTGCCCTCTGAGGTGAGCTGGAGCTCTGGACTCAGCTAGCTAGCTAGCTAGCAGTGCTGCTAACTTACTTTCTAAACGCAAGTGATGTCAAATAAAAGTCGAGGCTGCCACTGTATGACCTTAATTCCCCCTTTCATTACGTTACAAGTTAATTTATCTGGCATGTATGTATTTGTGCTTCACCACCTCGTCAACATGTCCAGGTAGTTAGCTTGAAATCAAGGAGCTTAGAAATAAGGAGCCTTGTTTTGTTTTGCAGCTACCCATTGAAGACTTGTGTAGCTTGTCATCTAGATCCTTGCAGTCCCCTTTCACTGCGACTGTTCCCGATTCAACAGAAGACATCCTGCTCAAAGGATTTCAGATGCTCAACATGGAAAACAATAGAATAGAAACTGCACAACAGGTGTCTGACTCAGTCAGCTTTAAGCAGTTATGCACCCAGTCAGATTTACCATACCTTAATAAGATGCATGGGTGTAATATAATTCCTCTTTTTTTTTTGTAGTTTTTTGCCTGGTTTGCCAAGCTGCAGGCAAACATGGACCAGGACGAGAATGCAAAATACAGGTATGTAAATCTTAAACTCCTCTAGTGTCATGCTGTGTGTAGGGCTGGATATTGATAAGATTATATACAAGTTATAGGCTGGATCCTTTACCAGTTGTCTAATTTATTCCTGATCAGTTTTCCAAAAAGATAGGCCTTAATAGGTCATGAATCAAGTTATGTATTAGTCTCAAGTGTACAGTACAAATAACCTCACTGAGGTTCGCATATGCTTCACTGCCATGTGTTTTTCATAAATTTTAATATTTGGTATTGCTCTGCTCCAGAACACCAGGCATTTTTTTATTTTCAAACCAGCTCTTCATCTAAATAATCATCATTGCATGTCTAAAATCACAATTTTAGTCACCCATCATGCTTGGATTGAATTTTCCCTAATATCGGTTTTCCATCACTTTTATATCAAGATGAAATCTTTTTGCTTGCTCATCGCTGACATCACCTAAATTTGGTGGAAAAAATTAGAGATGAAAATGTAAAACGTGCATCTTCAGTGAAATTCTGGCCCCCTACCCAGCATGTTGGCCATAAGCTCAGCGTTATTCTCTGCTCTGCAAAAATTCTGGACAATGTGCACCAGTGCTTCCAAAGCTGCAGATTCATTTGGTGTCATTTTTCTTTTTGAACTTGTCACCGAGTATCTGTTCAGTTTTCTATCCAGTCATTCTCGTTGTTGACTACTTGGAAAATAATAACTTAAAAAAAAGAACATATACATGAACCAGCAAGTGAAATTTGTAAAGGTGTTGGTGAAAGTGCTTGTTGAACAGTGTATCAGATGTTTGCATTCTGAATCAGAGAAACACATCAGCTTTGATTTAAAGGCGTTATTAAACATGCATAATTCTATTTGCAACGTTCAAGCTTTCTGTTCGGTCAGACAGTCAGATTTATGTTCACCAGTCATGTTTGAGAAGACATTTGCATGCAGCTTAATAGTTGGTGAGGGCAGCAAAAGAAGAAACGATTGAAATGAGATTTCTAACCATCGGAGATAGTCCAACAGTTTTGTTTTTTAAAATCACTTTTTATAAAAGAACTCATTGGCATTTTTAAACAATGACTGGCAGACTGAACAGGAAGGTTTGACCCGGATATCCACTAACTCTGCGAAGGCCAGCAGACAATAGCCAGAGGTTTTCCAGATTGTGTGTGCGTTGACTGGGTGTTTGTTTAGAGGAGGACAAGGTCAAATTACATGTTTTTGAAAGAATAAATCAGAATCAAACATGATGCTCTGTGATGCATCCATCCTTCGTCTGCTTATTCAGTTGAGGGTCGTGGGGGGCTGGAGTCGATCCATCCTACTGTTAGAGGCAGGGTACACCGTGGATAGGTCATTAATCAGGTGTAACACACAGAGACAGACAGCCATTTAAGCTCACATTCACATCTACTGTCAGTTTAGAATCACTGGCCTAACGCCATGCGGGAGGAAGCTGGAATATCCAGAGAGAACCCACGCAGACAGATGTGTGACAGTGCTAAACATTGCATCACCATTCTCTCCCACCTCTGTGCTTTATAAAATGCACCCTCATACACTA